GCGAGCTCCTCCTGCTCGCCACCGTCGTTGTCGACTTTGAAGCCCAGCCAGCGGCGCCAGAGGTTCGGCGCGAAGCCCGCCGAGTAGAACCAGGTGGTGCCGCGGAAGTTGTGCTCGCGGTCGCCGAAGACGGAGGTGCGGGCGCCGCCGGAGGCGCCGTTGCGGCCGGCGTTGAAGACCGAATCGACGTACTTGGTGGGCCAGCGGCGGTCGAGGTAGAGGGCGTGGGGGATGGAGACGGCCTTGAAACCGTGCTGGAGGGCCGTCGAGGCGGGCCACATCTCCGAGAACATGGTGTGGCGCTTGCGGACGGTCTCCTGGTGCATGGTGTGGAGCAGCTTGTTGGACATGCGGGAGGCGGTGATGATGGCCGTGCGGCGCGGGGGCATCATGCCGGCGGACCGGTCGTAGCCGGTCACGTCGTCGCGGAGCGCCCAAGTCGTGCCTTCGGGGTCGAAGAGAGGATTGAACACGATCAGGTCCGCCTCCTCGCCGACGCCCCACTCGTATCGGTCCTTCTCCATCGTGGTGGGCGGGATCCCTTCGCCTTCGACCTCGAGGATGTCCTGCTCAGCGGGTCGCTCGGGGCCCCAGACGGACTTGTCGCCTTGGGCGTTCTTTTCGGCTGCTGACTTGTCTTGGCCGGGCTTTGGTGCACTCCACATATTGTTCGGACTGTTGGTGCCGATCTCGGTCTGCACGCGCACCATCTGTCGGAAGTCCTCCCACGTCCCTTGAACAGACGGGACGTAGAAGCGCGCATTTCGTTCCCAAAGGCCCTTACGGGGCTGTTCTCGCGCCCAGCTGACGACCTTGTCGAAAAGATGATACCAGTGTCCTGTATATCGAGCATCCATCTCCCAGTTCCAATAATAGTCGTATTCCGGATGTTGGTAAGCAAAGTACTGCATGGGCATATGGGTGCTGCGATAGACACCGTGCACAGAGAGTCCGCTAGCCCACGTCTCTTCCAGACCAGGGTACATGAGCGCCATTTGCCGCTCAGACCAAAGCGTCGCCATACCACGGAACTCGGCCGGCAAGGCATCTGAGAGCACACGCTCATATGTCTCGTCGTCAGCCCAGATCTGAAGATTCTCATCTTTGACTTGGACCAAAAAGTGGATTGCATACTCGCCGCCGGACTGCAGGGACAGTTCCGAGATCAGCGAACGCAAATACAGAATGTCATCAGGACTATAGCGGTAATCGTGCCAGGTGCGCAGAACAAACGCGGTCCGGGGCAGCCGTTCACGTTCAGTCTGTTCTTGCTGATCGTTTTCCGGGGAAGGCGAAGTCGTTGCTGCATCATCCAAGGTCGGAACTCCGATCGGCATGGAGATAAAGCGGTTGAGACGCAGTGGAGGGAGCTTTTTGAAGCGATGGCTGTTGGTGGCCATGCATCGATTTTGAGCAGCAGCCCAATCCACTTTCCGGAAATCGACCGGTGGAAAATCCTCCCAGACACGCTCAGCGCCCTCACGTTCTCCTTCAAGACCCGCACCGATTCCACCTTTTCGGACACTGTAGCCCATACCATATGGCCCAAGGCGGCCAAATCGATCGAAGCAAACGTCACCCTTAATGCCAAGCAATTCATTGGAGCCTATGACCGGGTCAGGAAATCCGCGAGGCACGCCAGGGTAGTGATGAACCAGAGGAACCCGCAGAGTTCCATCCTCATCTAGAAAGCATTCGTGCTTCTCTCCATACTTGGCGATGTACTCTGGAGAAGCGTAGTCAGGGTACGGGTTGAAGACCAAGCTTGAAAAGGGTACGGTTTGGTCGCGCTTCGAGATGCTGGTATTGTTCTGGGAGTCAGTGTTGCCAGCATCCATCGCTTCCAAGCTGTCGTTGGGATACTCGGGTACATTTTCTGCGCGCGTGACCAAGGTTCGGATGCCCCCATGATAGCGCTTGAGAAAGGGAAAGCTTTCCCAAGCAGGCGGCTTGGAGCTAGGCTTGGGCAGCGGGACATTGACCCGACTAACAGTGGAGAGAAATGTAAATCGAAACAGAACGATAATGAAAAGCACGAGGAATGAAAGCAACCCCATGCAGAGCCATCGCATGACTCGGTGGGGGACGCGATAGCCCAACCCAATGCGAGGCGGCCGGCGCGCCGGCGCATCATTCAGCATAGGCCGAAACGAAGAAGCGGAGGAGGAGCTGGTGGAGTCATCCTCAGTATCCGTATCGGATTCATATGAACTCTGGCTATATTGGCGATAGTGACGTTGAGGGCGTGCAGGTTGTTTCTCTATATCCACCATCACATTGCGACTTTTCTTTGAGTACCGTGCATGAACCGTTTTCGAGGCTGGATGCCTTTTGGCTCGAATGGGCATGGTGGACACAACATGAACAGGTGGGCGTTAACGACGTCAGAGGAATGCGCACCGTGCAGGGCGATCGATTGAACGGCGCCAGCAGATCCGAGGAATGGAAAGGTCAAGATTCAGCAACTATCATGTGTCAAGGTTAGTGAGCGATTGAATCATACATGTCTGACAATGAAGAACCCACATGCCGACCTGTTCTTGAGCAGTGTCAGAACGGTTCGCCCGAAAGTGGGTGACTGATCGTTGTCCACCGATCTATAGTCACAGATTCCCGATGGGGACGTGGGAACAATTAAAAACAAGAGCACTCACGTTCAAGTCCAATTGCCCGGGACTTGGATCGAGCCGATCAATAACAATTGATCAGACCGAGGAGCTCAACACAGTTCAACGCTCTCAGACTGACTGTCAACAAAATACAAGACTGCGCGGTGGTACGGAGTATATGGCGTAGTGTTTGGCAGATCGGCGCCAGTCGTTGCCCAAGAGACGACAACCAGCGCTTGCTGCACTAGGCTGGACTTGATCATCTTGGCGGGGCCATCTCTAGACCTTGACTTTCACGAGATCGAGATGAGTTCCGTTTTGAAGGGGATCGGTCTTATTTGCAGGGCCTATTTTCACGAGTATACAAGGATAGAATCGAGTATGGAATAAACGATAAGTTAAAAGGCTGCATGGCTGTGAAAGTAAGTATGAAGTTCCATGGTACAGTAGTTCCAAGAAGTCAAGAACTCGAGCTGTGTTTCTTCGAGACACAGACTGGGCTCGACCTTTCTTGTCCACATCAGGATTAGCGCCCTGTCTCAATGCGCTAAGCTTCTCTGGGATATATTGTGGCCTGAGGCAACTATAGGCATCAAGCAGTGTCCGAGCAAGCAGCAGCAGAGCAGCAGCAACAGCAGCAGCAAGCTTCCAGTCACTCGTGTTGTAAGTTAGGCTTTTACCAAGTACATACTCCACATAACTAACTATTCCACTCAACTCAAGAAAAGGTCACACGATAGAGAAAAAATCAAGTAGCAGAGTCACCTGCACTATGTACTAAATATGTTTCTCACCAGAAGCAGGTAGAGCTCTTTCACAGGGATTGAATCCCAACTAAATCCCCAAGGCGAGCGCCAGGCACTTTCGGGGAAGCAGGAGGAAAACCCGTTATCTGCAACCATCAAGTGCGGTGATGTCACTGATAATTCCGACCTCACTTCCCCGAAAACGGGCCCCCATTCACATTCAACCAACGAATGAATTAACAATCTTTCTCTCCCACAACCGAGTCTGATCCTGCCTTCAAGGTTAAATGGCATGACCTCCAAGGACCCGGCACTGGGAATGAAAGTAACCACCGTGCTCCAAGGGCCCACAATTACCCCGGTTCTGATGAGATTGGACTCCACTTCTCGCTGGGCGACACGCCTCCTAGATGCCCAGAAACAAGAGCGAGCAGCCCCCCAACAGTCAATGGGAACATAGTTCTATCTGCACGGCACCTCCCACACTACACCTCGTGTTGCATTCCTATTCCTGCGACCAGGAAGAAAGGAGAGTCTTTTAGGCGAAACAGCTCATCCGCTGACAGCTTCGGCATACCGTGGCTTTGGGGAGGCCCGACGCTTTCCGTCTTCTTATCCTCCGAACCTCTTGTTGGGGGAGGTTTTATGTTCGAAGAGGTTACTTCGACATTTAGTCATTGCTGCTTCATCCGCATACCTTAGCTTCTTTTCGCCAGCATACATCACACTGACGACGGTACCTAGTACTTCCTTCCTTCCTTCCTTCCTTCCTTCCTTCCTTCCATTCCATCCACACAAAACTAAACCACACCACGCGCAATAGCCGAGCCATTGATGAACAGCTTTCACTGTACGCATGTATGAATCACACTCTGGACTGCGGAGTATTAGTTGCGGTGTGATGCAACTGTGACCTTTATTGGTCCACCTGGCTGCACTCAACAGTGCATATCCACCTTTTGCCGTAGATTCTATTAAAGAGAGAAAAAAAAAAGAAAAGAAAAAAACTATCGTGGCAGCATGAGACCTGCCGGGACCTACTGACTACCTACATTGACCACCCCTCAGTACCGCGCCTTCATTCCAGCCATTCCTGTGTGCCTCGAGCTCTCTCTTTGTCGTATTTGTGGAGAAAAGAGACGGAGCTGGGTCACGATATGACACCTACCTTACTCCACCCCCTTGGAGCAGAAGTATAAAAACGAGCTTACCAGCCCTGGTGCCCCCTTTGCCCCGGGGCAAGAACACAGTGAATGGCGCTGTGCTCTGCAGCGCATTGAGATAGGTGATCGAGTGTTCAGCCCACCCTCTCCCTCAAACCTGAACCATCATCGCAGTCCCCCCCATCAGCAACCGACTCACCTCGTATCGAGACTAATCAACAAACAAAGAAAGAAAGACAGACATCATGGTACGCTTCGCACCCATGCCTATTTCCCTCGCACCCACACCTAATAGCATAAACCCAGTAGAACAATCACTGACAAGCACCTGTCCCCATTGTCAGACATCATCACCAGCAGCAGCAGCATCGAACCTATCCCCAGCAGCCCACAATCTCAACCACCACCACCTGAACCCCAACCCCAACCACAACCACCTAATCTTCACTCTCGACCCCACCACCACAACAACAACATGCCTGCTCCTCCTCCTCCCAACCCTCTACCTCCTCCACACGATCCGCAAAGACTACCATGCCTTCCTCGCCCTGGGACCAGGAGGCACCCCCTCAACCCCAGCAGGCTACCTCCGGATCTGCATCCTCCGGCTCTTCATCCTGCGCAACCCGTTACTCGCCCCAACAATCCCCCCCTGCGTCCAGCCGCAACAAGGCCTGCTTCGCGCCTCGCACCTGCCCCCGCGCGCCGGCCCCCGCCCCACCGTCACCGGGATCGCGCCGCAACGCCAAACGACCCAAAAGAGCGACGCCGCGATCTACGAGACGCTGTCCACCGAGATCCACCGCCTGGTCGCCCAGCACCCGGACACGCTATACACGGGCACCTCGTGCTTCGAGAAGTATAGCACGGGGATGTTCTGCGCGGGGAACGGGAACGGCAACGGCAACGCTGCCTGCGGTCCCGACAGCCTCACCACCACCTCCCTCCAAACCCTCAAAGTATCCAACCCCGGCGTCAACAACAACAGCCACCAACAAGAACAACGCCGCCACCGCCTCACCTGCAACGGGGAGGTGTGTCACGCGCACCCGAGCGACGGCAGCCTGCACCTGACGCTGCACCCGGCGGACGTGAAGCTGGTGCTGGAGCGCGGCTGGGGCCAGCGGCACCCGCTGGCCCGCGACAGCTGGTGGTGGTGGCTGCGCATCGTGCCGCCCGGGTTTGTGATGGTGTATGCGCCGCGCGACGCCGAGGAGCTGGACTGTGTGCTCGAGATTATCCGGGCGGCGGCGTGGTGGGTGAGCGGGACGGAGTTGCGGAGGTGAATACACCTGGGGATGCTTTGGGCAGTTGGTTTTATTCGGTGCATGCCTGCCGGGGTAGTGAGACGTCGTGAGGCCCGGGGGGGCTGAGGGGCAACGGGCAAGGGGTGGGAGAGGTGGCGAGGAGGAAAGCTGCGGAATGGGTGAGTATATGGTTTGGTGGGTGTAGTGCTTGTGAGTGGTGGTGGTGGTAGTAGTAGATGAGCAACCGAAAGGGTCCTAAGCGTCAGCGGTTGATATTACCGTGTCCGCCGCCGTCATCAGCTGGATACGATTCTATCATGAATTAGCCAGGAATATTCGATGATGGAAACGACGACAGAACGTACAGGCGGATGGAGGATTGCACCTACGGGGTCCTAGTCGATCTCACGGCAGCCGGCTTATTAAGGGGCGAGGTGCAAGATGCACGGTGATAGTGCTGGCGCTGGCGTCGGGCGGTCCTGGATATCACGCTGCATACATTCAGGTTAAGTTGTAGATAAGCTTCCACAAGCTAGCAAGAGCCCGGACCCATCACATTGATTTATTGTTTTCACTCACGTGCGTCAACTCTCTACATGTTGCAATTCCACCCTCTTCCGGCGGTGATAATGAGATACAATGATTGGACTGAGTCGACCGTGCTCTCAGTGCAATCCATGAGACATTCGTCGGGCTTCCGTGGCAGGAAGTCCACCGGCAGAAGAGTCGTAGAGAGAAATTATCGTTGTTATCCACACCGACATATAGATATCGAGGGCGAAAGAGAGAGTAAAGAAAAAAAAAAAGTAAAAAGCTAATAGCATAGAGGAATGAAGAGCCGTAAGAGAACATACAAGAACCACCAAAGTAGCATTTCCCTTTCCACACTACACACGAGGTCGGCCCCGGTTTGTCTCCCCTTGTTTCCAGTCATGTCATCTGCAACAGGCCCCGTCACACGCTTCCAGGTATACCTCCAATCATTATATCCATTTAGTCGCGGTTGGTTTTCCGCAGCGTCTCGGCGAGCCACTCCAGACCCTCGTACAGACCATCACCAGTCGTGGCGCAGGTGGATTGGATGAACTAAAAAGGTCAAGGGTCAGTAAGCGAGCACCAACACCTGAGGCACCAAGATGACGTGATTTCCAAACTTACCCAGGGGCGGCGAGTGAGACTTTGCAGGCCGAGCTGCTGGGTGATTTCGGCAGGGCTCATGGCGTTCTGAGAGATAAAACCGTCAATATCATCATTCCTCAAATCGTAAGCCTTGGAGCACATACGGGCAAATCTTGCTTGTTGGCGAAGACCAGGAGCAGGGCGTCACGGAGCTCATCCTCGTTCAACATGCGCTGCAACTCTTCGCGGGCCTCGACAATACGATCCCGATCGTTGCTGTCGACGACGAAAATGATACCCTGGGTGTTCTGGAAGTAGTGTCTCCAGAGAGGACGGATCTTGTCCTGACCACCGACGTCCCAGACGGTGAACTGAATGTTCTTGTATTCGACAGTCTCGACGTTGAAGCCTGCATGAACAATTCCCAAGATGTGTCAGCGAACCAACTCAGCAGTGAACCCATGCGCTGGGTGAGCAGAGACATGCTGCTCTCGAGACAATAGTCGAATAGGGTGACTGACCGATGGTGGGGATGGTGGTGACGATTTCACCGAGCTTGAGCTTGTACAGGATGGTGGTCTTTCCGGCAGCGTCGAGACCGACCATCAGAATCCGCATCTCCTTGCGTCCCCATAGTCTGTCGAAAATCTTGGAGAAGGTGATACCCATGATGGCGGTGGTGTATCTTCAGGGTTCTAGATGGTGAGCGCGGAGGATGTTAGATGCGACCAGACAGGACAGAGTGTAAGAATGCGAGCACGATTGCGGGAGTGCCCTGCTGTTCAATCACGGGTCGGGTGATGAGGGGTTGAGGAGGTATATATGAGAGCGAGCAGGACAGTGGTATGACGAAGGGGAAATAAGAGGTGGACGACAACGAGGGGTGGAAGTCGTCAGGTTAAGGTAGTCACGCCGGGGAAACACGGCGGGCAAGACAAATCAGGGGGAGTGGAATTAGAGGGAGGCGAAATAACCAGACACAAAGACCAGAGCCAGCCTGGTCAGGGAGTTGAGGGGAGGGGCGGTGGATAGGACAAGAGACACAACGACAACTTGACCAAGCAGACATAAACCATTAACATAGGCAAAAATGTACTTACTTACCGATGTGGTTTGAAGATGGAAGGGAAAGAGGGAGGGAGATTAGGAATGGGCGTGGATACAGAGAGGGAGGGGGGTGGGAATGGGTGTGGGAACGAGACCAGACAGAGATAGAGACAGAGAGGCACTAAGAGACCAGCGACCGCCCGCCCGACTGGAAACAGCAGAGAGGGTCAGGTTCGGTCAGGTCAGGTCAGGTTCAGGTTCGGGTCCTGTTATGGAGCAGGCCCTCCTGTTTGTTGGTTCGTTCGAGGGGTGGAGGAAATTTTGGGTGAGCAAAACTGCCAGCGAGTGACCAGTGACCAGGTCGAGAAGTTCAGCCGCCGGCGTAGCTTCCGTCACTAACTGAAACCGGCCAAAAACAATCAATTAGATACTTACCGACTATTTTTCGTGTACCGTACGTACAGTAGATGGAGTAACTTTGGCGTTTGAAGCGTATACTATATATTTATAGAATCAATTGATGTCAATCAGTAGAAGATGATACTCTTCACTAATGCCAACTGTGGGATCATTTAGGTACGATCTGGAGAGCTTGACAGAACCCTGGCATTATTGAAGATCGGTTTCTGCCTGGCCACCAGAAGAGGACACGTTGTTTTCCGTTCATGGAATCTTACTATCTTACGCGGTAAACTTACCGCCTCTCATACAGTCTTCACCCACAAGTTCCTCCGTCGGTGTTCTGTACAATACACAGTACAGTATCAGTATAGTACAGCAATATCAACTCGAGGCGCAGCAATGGGCAATCTAAAGATCAAGCCAACACATGGCCAGACTTATACCAGAAGAGATCAGAATCATTCCTCCTTGGAATTCCAAGTTTCCCAAGAAATCTGCTTGATATACTCAAGAGACTTGACCAGTACATTACACTGTTCTGAACTTCATGAGAAGATTGTGCCGGTCTATGCTGTTCCGAGATTTTCATGGTCGATATGCATCCCTCCCTCCATTAGGAAACACATAAGATGTGTGGACATCAAGTGTATCGAGGAAGCAGATATCAATGAAAGTTAAAGCACATTCGAGGTCCTCATCAAGCATGCTTTAACTATGAACGTCTCCTGGTGCCGGGGGCTCACAATTTGCAGAAGTTCTCAATATTCGGCTGAAGGGGCAAGATCGTTTGTGTCATTTTTAGGCTTGCCATAAGCTGCCTTCTATGGTTCAAATTGCACTATATTTGCGATCTATTTCTGGTATACAAAGCCCGCGTTCAAGCCTCATACCTGTATGAGCCGAGCGAAAGAGAGCTTCGATATAAAATAGACGAATGATTTTAGCGGGTAGATCTTGTGCGGAAGCCAGAAGTAATAGCTGTCTCTGCCATACACCTCCATCGTGCTCGGCTATAGTTCGATTCATCGCATTATTGAAGAAGAATGGAAGCCTCAATAGCGGTCCCATAGTTCAAAAACAAGCAATGCAAAGTTGATCTATCTCAGACCAAGACCCAGGCATCTAGCCTTTGTCCCGCTTCTCGAAATTGGGCATATAAGACATCATCACGTATTAAGTATCCAGTTTCTTACTTGGAGCATCTCCATAACGAGAGGTGGTGAAGCCTCCACCCTCAACTACGCAATCTGAAATGTGTGGTTCGAGGCGCTGGCGAAGTTTGAGGATGCGATACATGAATTAGTATAATGGTACTATGATATGAGTTAAAGCTAGATCCCGATGACGTACTGTATGTGTTGATTCTGATATACATGAGTATACCAACTGATAATAGGTGTTGCCCCGTTCTATATAGCTCATTGTGGCAGTGACCCTTTGCCTACCCTGCCGTGAATTACCGCCTTGGTAGACCTCCACACCAAGGCTAGAATGTAGCGGGACCCCGCACAACGATAATCTTATCGTTTCCCCCTCATGTTGTATTAAGAATCATCACAATGATATGGTCATGACCAGGTCTTCGACATGCCATCCTTACCCTGTAAGACATTGGCTACAGGGGGCACTTCTATACCACATCCCTTCTTCAAGACCAAGTCTCTAGGGTGTCTGGCACCAAGAACACCAAGCCATAAAACTGGGGTAATGAGGATCTCAGCTAGCGAGATTGTAGTGATCTTTCCATATTCATTGACCAAGGAGCAGACTTAGTGACTGATTCTGACAAGAGTGAGTATAGGGTGAGTATAGCAGCCAAGTCCTTACTCTGGATATGTTCAACCTCCTTCCCCGCGTCCACTTGCAAACAGATCTAAGCAAACCCGGGAATGCGAAGTAGAAGATACAGTTCTTATCAACCATACAAGGAATTACTTCATTGAGGTTCCTTCTCTACTAGGTTCTCCCCAGTGTGGAACCAATGCCATATCATATTTGCATGGCACAGTGTTCCTTCTTTCTCTATCTTGCTCAAGCCGTGGTAGAAGCAGGCCTCCCAAGACTTTCTTGACAGATCGCGGGTGCAAATTCATTTAGCTCGCTGAGGGAGACACCCGTATTATGCGCAGACGTCCAGAACTCAAGTGGAGATGATTCGCGCCCGGGGTTACGTCTGTATCTGAACTCTTCCATCAGAGACCTCGCTCCCTCCTGGTTATAGAATGTTGCCAAGGACGAAGATGCTCAGGGAATTCCACCTGCTCGAGATCAACAACCATCACTCTGCTCTTCCCACGGCCTTTGCCATCACACAACAAGAAGTTATCCAGCTTCTGGTCCCGGTACAAAGCTCCATGCTTCGTGAGCTCACTAAAGACTTCCTCCAGAGAAGATCTTAATGACTCCTCGGGGACTTCGTAGTTGCTGCGGGCCAATTCATCCAAAGTAATCCCATCAATATCCGATAGTACGAGTGCAGGTAGCCCACCAAAATGACCTCGACCATAAAAGTATGGAATCACTTTCCCCTGGAGCTTCTTTAATCTGTTGTAGGCCCTCTGCTCATCCTCGAACTCTTCTTCCCATTCATCTTTCTGTTGCTTAACAATAACAGAGGTGGCTGTCTTGGGAATTGTATGCCGATATGAGCCTGGCTCAAGTTTGAAACGATAGACTGTTCGATGTCGATCTAATCGCTCAATCTCGGTTGCCATAATCTCGTGACCATCTAGCTTGATGATTTAACGAAGTCAGCTTGATCCAGTCCTCAGGCCAACTCGTAGAAAATCATTCTGCCTGGGAAGGTTGCCGGGGTGGGAAGAGATAAGACATGACTCAATGAACATCAAAGGTGCTTGAGGAAGAAAGACAGAAAGGAAGGTAGAGCTTTGACAGCAAGATAATAAGCTCAGTTGTCATGTGATCGGTCTGATGCAAGGGGGAAGAGTGACAAACTTATATCCCAAGCTTCAGGCGGCGTCAGTGCCTGATTTCCCAGGCATATAAGCCTTCACATGAAAGAACTGTCAGTCACTCTGGGTCTATGCATGGGCGATAGAACGTCAAAATGCAACCAATGTTATTGAACTTGGCAGACGTAGATCAGTCAGCGAGCATAATGCCCCTCAGCTGAAAATCCCATATTGTACAGTACATGTCCATCTTCATCAATCATGGCCTCTGGACTTGTCCTTGAAGATGGGTGAGGTGGCTTCATGTATCTCGTATGTCTTTGCGACTGTGTGAGATTTTGCTTCGAGATACCCGGAAGAACTTCTGGAATAGCGACTCGTAGATCGGCCTGCCTTCCACAGTGTCACTGACATACCCGAAGAAGACAAGCGACACAAAGGACAGGAACATAATGACGCCGAAGCTGGTCCAGTATTGCGTGATTGTGTATTCGCCCTTGACATTCTGAAGTTCCGTTGAGAAATACCCCGTCATCAGGCTGACCGGTAGGAATAGGATCGTCACTTTCGCCAAAAGGATAGTGATCCTGGTCAGCTTCTCCACAGCCTGCGAATCTTTGAGCGCTATCAAGTTGAAATTCTATCACAGAACGTTAGCTTTCCCTGGAGTCATGTCTAGAGATAAATTTGAACCGTACCAAGAAGGTTAGATTCTCTTTCTCTGTCAAACATGTCTCAATCTCAGAGAGACAATACAGCTTGATGCGGTCAACCAGCCTCTCGAACCGGGTCACAGCTGCGGAGCTCAGAGGTACTCCAACCGAATCATCTGGGATGCTTGAAAGACTAAAGCTGTTCTGCATGGATTGCTTTTGAGCATCGTCGGAGTCGTTGTCTCCAAATGTCTGTCCGAGAGCCAGTTGAGGGTAATTATAGCGTGCTTTATCATGAAGTGATCGCTGTCGTTGAAGAATGCGCATCATGATGAGCTCGTAGCTCTGGTAGAGACGCTTGAGGACTGCCAATCGCCTTCCCAGCCAGTGCAATTCGTCAATCAGGTCCACGACCGGCTTGGCTAGCATGTTTTGTCTCTGCCTCGAGGTGTTAGCTCTGTAAAACGCTGCGAGGAAATGACACGTTCACCACAAAGGACTGAGAGGGAATATTGGTCCATATACCAGCCGGTCTAAAGCCACGCCATATTTGTGCTCACGTTTCGCCACAAGGGCATAGGATGACACCCAGTCATCGAAGATGTAGTAGAAAAGTAAGCTCGGCCCGTCTTCTTGTCTAATGCTTGTCTGTTCCGGGCACGCCTCGGAGGAAGGCCGCACGCGAATCGTCACTAGGGAATCGCTTTCTGAGGAGGCGGGGTGGTGTCTAGAGACCCCGGAGAAGATGAGTTGCAGGTTCCGGCGAACCACGCCAAGGACAGCCTTGATTTCTTTCTCCGACGGGCTTGATAGGCCAGGAAACGGATTCTCTTGCATGTTTATGACAGTCCCTGTACAGCTCATTATTAAGAATCTAGCGATCAGGGAAATGCTTCTTACCATCATCGCACAAAATTAACCAGGACCATAACCGCCTACCAGCCGGTAAGTCTTTCCCATTGTCCATTTCATGACCTGGGATCACATAGATCGAATTGTAACCGACGCAAGTATCTGTCATCCGTAAGAAATTTGGCTCCAGCAGTTCAATAAAGTTGGACATACACCTTGGCCCATAATCCACCGAGCAAAAATGCCATATTTGGTCGATGACGTGGGCAAAGGTGAGGCCCCTGAACGATGCCAGTGCGCTAATCTCCTCGGCATTTGTCAAATTTCTGAGTGCATTGCCTTCTTCGAGGTCGTTCAATCGATTTGAGGGCAACCGGTCGCGGTGTCTAGAGTAGCTAGTTCGTGAAGGCTCAGCAGGGACCGGAGGTTTCGATGGACGCTCGACTGGGTCTGTGCACATCATGCCCTGTAGCCGTTCCGATACACCATAGTGACTGGTGATGGACTGAGAACGTCAGTGGAGACATGGTGACCCATTGGAGACTAGGCTAACCTTTATCAAATCCTTTTGCTGCTCGGGGGCCCATATATTACTGGTGAACCTCGCTGAGCATGTCTCCATTCGTGTTCGATAATGCTTATACTTACATCCACCGAGTACCATAACAATTTGGCTTCTAAGCATCATCCACGTTTAGTCTTGTTCAAATGGCATCAAACTACCGTTGACAACATACTGGCTTGCGCAGTAGCAGCGCTACCTCTTCCTGGTCCAAGTTCACAGCACACCATGCATCTTCATTGCCGAAGTCGAGCACAAAGTTTCTTGCTTGAGGGTCTTGCAAAAGAGCCCGATAGTGCTTCAGGTTGCTGGCATCATCAATGTCGCGAAATTTATCTTGGATGCTTGGTTTCTGAGTAAAACTGGAATAATAATCTTGAGGTGTGTGGCCACTGCTGGATGTCGTAGGCTCTGACATTTCTTATCCTGGCCAGCGACAGGCAGTCGCGAGACCGTATACTGGACACTAAAGGGTGGGTATGATAATTCAGAAGCTGAATGAGGCACAGGGACTCATAGCAGAGAGCAGCGGCCTGCAGTTGCTCGGATAATTTCTCACAGCTCCTGCGTCGCGCAGATCAGGGCGACTGACTGGGTACTTATGAGCTGAGACAGCACAATCGCTTGCCGCCCAGCGCGGGCGCCAGAGCCTTACAGCTGACTCGTCCGCAGCACGAGGGGTATGTTGACAAGCCCCCGCCAAGGATTCCGGGGGGGCATCTGGAGGCGGGCGCGTATCGATGGTTGTGGGCGCTGAAAGGTATCATATGCTCGACTTTGGTCGTAGTGAAGATCTGCAAGCCAGGTGTGACTAGGTAAAATGCTTGTAAGGGATTGAGTCAGGTCAAGTTCTTAAAACGAAGCGGCGGTGTTACCGGGCAACTTGAAGGTCGAGACTATCGACATATATAGCATTCTTCAACACATCATCTTGGCGGACCAAGATCATTTTCCGAAAATGAGACATAATACTAGGTGGTAAGGAGTAGAATATAAGCTCTTCATCTGATGCATCCCCCCCGGAAAGAGATCATTGGAGACTTATCAAATGAGGTTTTGTTCACTGTTTACTATACCTGTAGCCCAGATAGCCCTCCAGGCTCCCACGACAGCCCGGGTACCCCATAACTACCCGGTTTTGGTTAGTTCTACCGGGCCGTCACGCGAACCGCGGGACTGACTTCTACCCGACTGCAGTACGGAGCAGTATCCACTATCCACGCACCGCATCAGATCCACCGATCCATCGGTCACAAGCGACATATCGACGTGTTCGGGCAGAGGAGTCCTCAGTTGACTCTTGAAAGCATGGTGATCATATCCAGCCGACTGCTTCTATAAGGATATGATCTTCATCTCAAGTGATCCGGTCAAACGTCTCTAAGTTAGCGGCTCCATTGGCGACCATCTCAGAAATGGTATATCAAGCAGCCACGGGGCAGCCCGTTCGCTTGGCTACATCATGTACTGAATGTCAGCGTCGAAAGCAGAAGGCAAGCAACACAAGTCAGCCTTGATTAATCTAGTTCTCTCATAAGAGCACCTTATCTGACGACTCCTTTGTACAGTGTAGCCGCGATTGGCCATGCAATCATTGTCAAGCAAGAAGAGTGGCTCATCTATGCAAATTTCCCCCCAAGAAGGCGCTCAAGGTGACCAGGTCTATGACGAACAATGCAAGGTCAGCTATAGGCACCGTTCTTAGTTTCATACAGGTCCCTAATACCTGCTTCAGCATAGATACTCCACAGACGGCTTCTGTAGAGTCGAATCACGAAATTTCGAATTCTAATACAATCACGGCAATCACCAACGACAATGCTTTTCGTATGCTCGGATACCTTCCTGATAGCGAGGTAGCGACGCCTCAGGGTGCTGAGAGATATGTAAGGCTAACGTGATATGGATCTGTGTCCACCATCTACTGACTGTTGATTTGACAGCAATCTGCCGCGATATCTCCGGTCCCCTGTAGCACTATTCAGCCGGAGATGGAGAAAGCTATCCGTATAGTCCCACCAAAACCATACACAGGTAAACCAACCAACTCACGATAATCCTGCGCAATCACTCATGCATAATCAGACATCCTGATACAGCACTTTCTCAGTGAGATCAATCCTCAATACTATTGTCTTTACCCGCCCACATTCTCGCACGACTATGCTACTTGGTGGTCTGGCAAGGCGGCGGGTCAGGCGTTGACTCCCGAGTTTACTTGCCTGCTTTTACACATATGCGCCTGCGCAACCTTATATCTGGACCATGATGCCCGACAGAAGCTGGAGACGGAGCTCGGGGAGAACGCCCAGAATCTTGCCGAACAGTATCATCATGCTGCCAAGCAGCTTAGCAGCACCATTGCACCTGGTAAGGGCGGGCTGACTCAGGTGCAACAACTGTTCCTCAATGCAGTTTACTACAAAAGTGAAGCACAATTTGTTGAGTCATGGCATGCTCTGGGCGCTGCGATCCACCAAGCGCAGGAATTAGGTAAATACAGGTACTCCAAGCTTCGTAATATCTAGGCTGACTTTTGAATCTCGACGACAGGCATGTACAAGAGTTCATCCAAGGCGATTGCCTCAGAGTTCGAACGCGAAATGAGAAGGCGAATTTGGTGCATATTGTATACTTGGGATTGGTAAGCTCGTACTGGTTGGTCGTGGATACCCGCGGTGTTGACAAAGCTAGGCAAATGTCTCTATTATTATCGAGACCATTCATCATCAACAGCAACTACTGCTCTTTTGAACTGCCAAACCTACGCCTCGAGAGCCCTGATCCCGAGGAGTTCGGGCTTTCACCGATCGCTCACATGACCTTCCAATGTGAGCTCGGACGGACTATCTCCAAGATACCCGGTGTGATGGGTGGCTTATTGTCGCCCGCACAGGCCATTACCATCCAACAAGAGACTGAGAAGTGGTTTATGAACCTCCCCGCGCCATACAGACCAGAAAACCCCGACACTCGCTGGGATCAATCTCACAAACACGTGGCAATACAGCGGCATCAGCTACATGCGATCGGGTATATGGTAATGTTTCTGCCTTTGAAGCCATGCCTCACAATGACTGTCGATCAAGACAAGCCTAGCATTGAGAGGAGTCTTCGACCGACTGCTGTCAACTGTGCACTGAAGCTGTTGGAATCATCGCAGCGGATGCTAGCGTTTATGCTACCTGCAAACGCCAAGTTCCACTACGCCCCCTTCATTATCTTTGATACAGCAGCCTTCTTATGCTCTGCAATTATCCATGATCACAACAGCACTCTCCCCGGCCGAGACAAGACTATCGAAGCAATTTCGACGGCTCTCGAAGCGCTAGAACAGATATCCGAGAACACAAAGACCGGTGCCATCTGCTATGCGGTACTTAACAGGCTTGCGGGCAGTATGACTCTGACTGGAGAGGAAAAGACGGCCATATTCTCCAGGTCGTCGGACGGATCCCTAGAGGGACCCATTACACCTCCTTCGACATCGCTAGGATCTGGTGCAGATTTTGATGTCACCTCTGCTTCCACGGATCTGGATTTGCCGTGGAGCTCTATAGAAGCTGGCATCAACTATTCGTTACCTTTAGGATTGAGTCCCTTGGCAGCAGGAACCAGCGAATTTGCTGGGATGGACGGTCTTCTCAGCGTTGATATGTGCGAACTGGGCCAAATATGGGACTGGGGTAACCTTGACCTGAACCTTCAATGGCCCCCTCCTACCTAGGGCATGGCTTTTGCCTGGTGCACGATGTCGTGTCTTGACCGCATGAGAAGAGATGGAAGGGATGAGATCTCGATCACTTGTTTTCATGATGATTACAAGGAGTCAGAAGTAGACTGAGGGTACTCAAATTTCGCTACTGTATAGAGCATCTCTCCTGTCACACTAATGTGATAGAATCCTAACCCATCCATGATCGACAAATCCATTACTCTCTCGGTGTCGCTGGGCAGTCCCCGGGCCACTGCACCTATGTAGACGGGAGCGTCGCGTGAACAGTGTGCCATGATTGGCTGAGACCAAGACGCGGGCTTCGCTTACTCATGAGTGGTTTGCTGAATCAGCCCGAAGCATGAGTTAGGGCAGCACTAGCCCCAGTGCGGCTAGCGCGAGACACGCCCACAAGCGGAGAACGGGAATTTCTCTACGGCCGACGGGGCGAAGTAGTCGAGTTTTTTTCCCTTTTGCTTGTCGACCAACATTCAGCGCAGAGCCACACCATAGGAATTTGAAAGAGTTCTTTTGGAAGACTGTCCAGCAAGATGTCCAAGATCACAGTCGGTATGTGAATTTTCCCTTGCATCCACAAATACGCCTCGATCAACAAGAGACGAGAGTGCACAAAGCCAAATCAAGTGTATCAAAACCGCTGACCTGCGATTCTTTTGTCCATCCACAGCCGGAGTGCGCCAGAATGTTGAGCAGCTGCTCAACTACTCTCAGAATGAGAAGAAGAGAAACTTCCTCGAGACCGTCGAGCTTCAGATCGGTCTGAAGAACTACGACCCCCAGCGTGACAAGCGTTTCTCCGGCACCATCAAGCTGCCCACCATCCCCCGCCCCAACATGAGCATCTGGTATGTGGCAACCACCGAAAAAAAGACAGGTCGAATGGAGAGGGTGTTATGCGACAGATCTGCGTGCTGTGGGAATGCATAGAGCACGAGAGAACCACCAGGATTGGAGAACATCCGGGCTAACGGCATACGCACTTTAGTGTTCTCGGTGACCAGCACGATCTCGACCGTGCCAAGCACTTCGGTGTTGACGCCATGTCCGCTGATGACCTCAAGAAGCTGAACAAGAACAAGAAGCTCATCAAGAAGCTTGCTCGCAAGTACGATGCCTTCGTCGCTTCCGACTCCCTCATCAAGCAGATCCCCCGTCTCTTGGGTCCTGGTCTTTCCAAGGGTATGTTCCCCACCCTCAAATGACATTAAAGCATCTTGTTGGCAGTGACATGCAAACTAACGCCCACCGCAGCCGGAAAGTTCCCTACCCCCGTCTCCCACGCTGAGGACTTGGCTGGCAAGATCAACGAGATCAAGGCCACCATCAAGTTCCAGCTGAAGAAGGTTCTCTGCTTGGGTGTTGCCGTCGGCAACGTTGGCATGACCGAGGATGAGCTCGTCGCCAACACCATGTTGGCCATCAACTACCTCGTCTCCCTGCTCAAGAAGGGCTGGCAGAACGTTGGTAGCCTTGTCCTCAAGGCTACCATGTCTCCTCCCAAGCGTCTCTACTAAGGGGCTCTTAGCGCTTTGCTGCGCTGGAGGTTTTAGAGGGATTATTAAGGTTTGGGATCGTATAGGCCTTAGTTGACTCTACGGGAAATGTGACCCATGACTTTATGTCCCTCAATTGCGCTGTTTTTGTGCTGAAACACGTAGAGTCGTAGTATATCTCGTAGGCGCGCATCCGGTATCTGGATGAGATGTGTGGAATTCGCTTCAATGATTGATGTGATATGGTGGTGTATAAATTGGTACTGTACATCGAAATTTGGCGGCGCGAACCGCCAGGTCATGAGCTTATTGCATACCCTCCATCAGATCCGTCCGGTCCAAGATCATCCCCCTCATGCCGATAAATTCGCGAAGACTTTCCCACTCCTCTCCTTCCTCTTCACCTCTCAAGTAAACATCCTTGAAACCCCAGGCAAGCGCAACCTTATCGAACGCCGCCCGCTCCTCCTCACGGAGCCACCGGTGCCGCAGCGGGACTCCCGGCTGCCAGGTCACGCGCTCCATCTGATCATTCGCGGTGGTGATGGCCAACAACCCGACCGACGTGACACCGCCCATGTACGCCAGCCCCGCCGCGAAGGCGATGCCCGTCGCCGTGCTGGGGTCCATCGTGTTCTGCAGGCTCCCGGCCCAGGTCGCAAGGATGTAGCAGGCCACCGGGGCGGCACTCAGCCCACCCAGCGGCAGCGCGGCCTTCTTGTAGGCCTTGGCGCGGCGGAACGCCGCGGTGGAGAATGTGGTGTCGATGATCGCCAGGACGAGAGAGAGGTTCCGCTGAGCGATGGCGACGTCCAGCGCCGAGTTGGCCAGCTCCACGGGGATGGCGCTGTTGATGCTGTTGGGGTTCGCCTTGCTGAAGCGCACGGGCGAACTCTTCTCCTCCGGGATCGGCTTGTTGGCGTACAGGTGGAAGATCTCGGGGAAGTGGTGGGGCTGCTGGAGCAGGACGTGGATCTTGGTGTAGGAAGCGAGGGCTTCGGGGGAGATGAACACCTTCTCGTCGGTCAGCAGGCCGTGGATCGCCTGGCACAGCTGCTTGGATAGCTGCTTGCGGCTTAGCTTGGGTCGTGGCTGCGGTTTCTCCGCGGCCGTTGCCGGTTCGTCCAGGTCTAACAGAGACGAGAACTCATCCGGTTCCTGCTTTGGTTGGGCTTTCGTGGGTTGTGCGATTGTCTCGGCGATCTTCTCGCTTCTCTGCAGCAGTTGCTTGACGGCGTCGTTGGCGGGCACGGCGTCTGCCTGGCAGAGGTTGGAGCATTCTTCGGCAATCTGGGCAATGGCTTCATCCAATTGCAGTCTTGTGGGTTGTTCTGCTTGGCTCGAGTTGAAGCGCTTCGAGATTTGGTTCGCATGAGTCCACGAGGATTGTCTTGACTGGAATCGCTCGCGATGCACGCTTGAGAGTGCCGGGCTGGTGGTTTTTGAGGCATAGGTCCGAGAAAGTAGTGGGCGAGGTACGGGACTAGGAGACCCTGTTTGACGACAGAGCTGACAGACCAGAGATTGGGTCTTGGATTTCTGGGCCCTCAAGACCATTCTGTTCGTGGTAATCATGTTTGCTATCCACAATTCCGCCTAGGACGTTCGAAACGGTAACGGGGGGTTTGAACAGAAAAGAAGGCAATGCGACGGATATGCGATAAGGCGGCGAGTGGTACTGCCGCACCTACTAGGCGGGCGGTGGTACCTGGCGGCTTGTCTCGTACAGCCAGCCCCCCTCCAACTCCGTCACTTCCCTTACACCCTCGCCTTGTTCCCATCAGCTCTCCAAGCAGGCATCCACTTTCTTTCCTTTGTCCTTATATCTCTAGTCGCGGCAGTTGTCAGATGGTATTTCTAACGTTCACCGTCTGGTCCCTCTGAGATCACTACACGCATCAACCGCAATCTTCCGATATCAGCGTCATCCCCTCCTCGACATACTTACAGTCAACATGCCTCCCCCTCCGCCTCCTCCGCCGCCGCCGCCCCCCGGAGGGATGGGAGGCCCTCCTCCCCCACCTCCACCAGGAAACTTACCAAATAGACCCTCGGGCTCAGAAGCGAAGGGCCGGGTAAGTGCTTGCAGCTCTTGTTTCAGACCCAAACCGTTGGCTGATATCCATCACAGAGCGCTCTCCTTTCCGATATTCACAAAGGTGCAAGATTGAAGAAGGCCGTCACCAATGATAGATCAGCTCCTCAGCTTGCCGGTGGGGGAGTGAAGTCTTCAGGCCCTTCGGTGCCCGGTGCACCACCCATCCCAGGCATGGCGAAGCCTCCAGCTGGACTTGCACCTCCAGTCCCGACGGCACAGGCCGCCAACCGGCTACGGAGCAACAGCGATACAGGCTCAGGGGCGGACGCAGCGGCAGCAGCTCCAGCAGCTCCTCAGCTAGCTGGACTCTTTGCAGGAGGAATGCCTAAGCTACGCAGTCGAGGGGGTGTCGATACCGGCGCTACTCGGGAATCCCCATACATGTCGGACTCGGAAAACTCCAGGGGAGCTCCCCCGCCGCCCGTTGCGTCGGCTCCGAGACCACCAGGAGCCCGCCCTCCTCCACCTCTACCTGCAACAGACTCCCCACCAGCTCCTCCAGTCAACCCATTGGTCGCGAATCTTCGAAAGCCGCCCCCTAGGCCTGCATCTCGTCCATCATCGACAGCGTCAACTGCATCGATCAAGTCCGCCCCTGACGCGCCTCCCCGCGCACCTCCACCATTGCCTGGTACCGCTAAGCATGCTCCTCCTCCTCCGATCACATCACGAAAACCATCGACTACCGCTCCACCCCCGCCTCCGCCTCCGCCTCCTTCAGCTAGTCCTGCTGCGCCGCCTCCACCACCCCCGCCAGCAGCGTCAGCCCCGCGCCCACCTCCAGCGCCGGCACGGTCAACCCCTCCACCACCGCCTCCACCGGCAAATGGCACTTCGGCTGCTTCCGCGGCTGTACAAGCAGCCAGAAATGCGCTCGCTCACATGCAGCATACACCTTCCACCCCACCTCCACCTCCACCCGCTGCCTCGGCTCCTTCCGCACCTCCACCGCCGCCTCCTTCATCTGCTCCTCCGACGATGCCCCCTGCAGCAGCACCTCCACGACCAAGCTCATATGAGTCACTAGCCAGTCCACCCCCGGATCGTTCCACTCTTGATCCGAGCGCTTATACCCTCAGCAACGGCGGGCCGTCAGCGGGATCTAGCCCTCGGAGTCCGGGCATGCACGGCGTGACTCGGATTGATGATCATAGGTTCAAATTCCAGAGCGAAGGACTGCTGCCCAAACCTCGACCGTTCGTCGGTGGTGCGCGGCGGTATCGGGCTGGGCGAGGGAGCAGTGTGCCCTTGGACCTCAGCGCATTGAGCGGCTGAGGGGAGATCCAGTGGCCAGTAGTTAGATAACATGTATGAATTGAACATTATTTCAAACGCATTAGCTACCCTCGCATCGTTTGGCAGGGAGATGTCAAGCAAAAAGACTTCCAGGCTTGGTAGTTTTGTGGTCATGCACCAGTCACTACATTTGACAGGAAATAGCGTCGCCTTGCTTCAAATGGCATTGAGATTGTCGAATAGAGTCTAGAACAAATAACAAATTTACTCTAAATGCAGCAATGCGCCGTCCCAGCTCACGAATGCAGATCACGTTATGACGAGTCAGAATTCGTAGATCTTCGGAATCTGATAAGCAAAGCACGGGACGGTCTCACGTGACACAACGCCATAGCGAACGGAGCAGCAGGTCGGGATCAACAGTCGCTGCCATCTCTCTTTAAACAGATGGACCCTCGCCAATCGCCTTACTTTGGACTGGGACCGCAATCGACCGTTACCAGCACAACATTCTAATTCATTCGAACCCTCACATCGGCTTTTCTTCACTCTAAGGAATATATTGAGGTCATTGCTCGGAACTCAGACGCCCCATCCGCGCGACACGATTACTCTACCTGTTTTTCCGTCACTATCTGTATCTTAGTAAAGCTCTGAGATACGCCGGCCACATCTTTCTCTCGAGAACAAGAATTCTACGATCTTGCGCTTCTTTGGGATCAGAGAAGTCTGTCGGAGAGCTCGAGCAATTGCCATCCTCTTTGTGATACCGCCAGCTCTCGGGCCAGCCACATCTTCGCCATGTCTTTACAATCATACATCAACAGTATGTATCTAGCTCCCTCCGTGGGTCGGAGAACGTTTCTGGGTAGCATAAACACCTGCCCATGAGTATTCCGCGTTGCTTGAACATGTGAGATAGCAATCCGAACTGACCAGAGTCCTCGCGAACATAGAAAAAATTCTGGTCTTGACCGTCGATGGCCGGACACTGCTGGGCACCCTTCTATCGACGGATCAGCTGACGAACTTGGTACTCCTTGATACGATTGAGCGCATCATCCGGACGCCCGATGACCCGGAACCTAGCTCGCAAATCGAACACGGACTCTATCTTATTCGCGGCGACAATGTGGTATTATGCGGGGAGATCGACGAGGCTATTGACCGTGACATCGACTGGACCAAGGTCAAGGGCGAGGTAGTGAAAGGCACGAAGAATGCGTGAGAGAAGAAGGGAGGGGGAAGACACCTTGCCCGCTGGACAAAGCTCTTTCTTTTTAAAACCCAAATCGCATTCGACACAGAAAAAGGAAAATTACTAAAAAAGGCCTCAAATAACAATCCACTGGCTGGATTGTATTTTTTCTTTCCCGTGGCAAGCAAGGAATGGAGACGCGTTTCGTTTGATTGTGGTGTGAAATTGACGTGGACGAGTTCGGCGTGACGTGGTCACGGACGAAGGCTTTCTCCTCCCCCCCTCCTTCCTTCCCCCTTTTGCCCTCTTCTCTTCCGTTTTTCCCCTCTTGTCTATCCAGTTTCTCTCTCATTCTGCGTGGGTGTTGGCGCTCAGCGGGACAAGGTGCTAGCCAGAGGGTGCCTGAGGTTTGCTGCGCTTGTGGCTTTCGTCTCCCGGTATCCGGCACTTGCGCGATGGGAGGGGATTGGGTGGGTCAAGTTATGCAATGCATTCGAATCGGCCCGCGTTGGAACTCTGAATGATCCGTTTCGGAGGGAATCTTCTATAATGAGATGGGAGTGTGACTACGGACTAGACATGCAGGTGCATTGGACGCTCGGGATCTTCAATCCGAACGGGGGTTCGGAATGCAAGTTCTGTGGTCGGCCGACTTCTGTGGGATCCTTTGGGGGGCTCGGGATTTTCTGAAGCAGAAGGGAGCAGGATCCAAAACTCGGAATGATTCGCATGGGATAATCAGGAAGGGGGAGGGGAGGCTGTTTGAGAGCTGGACCGTGTCTCCCTTGTCAGCCATGGCCAGGGATTAATGAGATCGATGTCCATCTGATCCTGGATCCTAGATGATGTGAGGTCGGGGCCTCTTTTTCCACCCGGAAAGCTTTCCTTTCCAGCCGAGGACATGGGCCACGAGCGGGCGAAAGTGGATTTGATACATAGATGACCAATTAACATAAGACTCTTCGTTTAATTACCTGTACATGACTTGATGAATCCGATAATATGATTGTTCAAGTAGACAGCGACTGCGTCTGGACTACTATGGGGTGGTCATTGTTGGGAGAGGAGATCAAGAGCTTGCCGTGTCTAAGTCTTTAATGGCTGTGCAAAGACACTATGGATATTTATTTGACTGCCTGAAATGAATCCCTCGCTTGTCGGGAGTCTGTCTTAAAAGGGGGAGGTTAGATTCTTTTTGGGGTTCTTTTTTTTTTTTTTTTCTTTTCTTTTTTTTACACTTTGATGAATCCCCCTGGCGAAAAGATGGAGGGAGAGAGAAGTTAAAGAAGTGATGAGTTCCATTCAATGCAAGAGATCTTTTAACCTTATTTCTCTCCTTTTGTATCTTTGTATCTTCGTATAGTTCCAGGTACAGTTCCAGTCAGTGACCTTGTCACTTTCTCCCATTCTTACTTCTTACTATTGTATTTTTATCATACACACACGCACTTCCTTTTCTTCTCTTCATCTATTGCACATTGTACCAATCCAAATTTAATCAACGTGAATCCTTTTCTCTCACACTCTCTCTCTCACTGCCTGCCGTTGGCCCCGCCCTTGCCAAGTGCGGCCCAACACCGGATCGTTTCGTTTTCAATTTCCCCTGACGGGAACTGTTCCATCCGCCGCCGCTGCTGCTGCTGTTGCTGCTGCTGCTGCTTAGTCCTCTACTACTCCTCTCCAACCAATTTCCCCTTCTCACTTTCTCACCTTTACTCAACTCAACTCCTCTCCTCCTCTCCTCCCCTCTCCTCCCTCCCCCCTTCCCCTCCTCCTCTGATTGATTTGAATTGTTTCTCATCTTACTCTTGGGAGACATTCTTTTTTTGCCATCACCCTCACCTCATCTTCCCCGGATCATTCTCCTACCACTCGAATACCCAACCACCTCCCCGGTCCCCTTTACCGATTCGATCCCCGTATCCACTCGCAATTCCCTCCCTCGGTCGCTGGGCGACCGCCACCTCTGCCTATTCCGGTCCACCGCCGCGATATCTCGCCCTCTTCTCTTTCTCCTCGATTGAATCAGGCGCCCTTCATGTTGTTGCGACCGTGCCAGCACTTCTCGGGTTCGACTTGTCTTTACCCGCCATCCAATTGGTCTACTTGAGTACTAGGTTGCAGCATAATTTCCCGCCCACAGCCTCGTTTCGTGACCGACAGCACCGGCTCTCCGTCACTCCGACACCTTACCCTCTTCTCGACACCTCCCTCCTTTCTCTCCTCTAGATCGCCCTCACCTCTATCCCGTCCTCATTGAGCGCTTCCAGTGCCCAGCCCAGAATGTGGTTGTATCGGGGCGCTCAGTCGGCCGTTTTCTACTATGCCACCTGCACACCCTGTGCCGAGTCGTCCTACCGTCGAAATCGAATGAAAGAAGCCGCCCGGTCGAAGCGCGAACAAGAGAAAGTCGATACCATTGTCACCGACCAACCGAAACCCCTCAGACAACCCACCCCCTTCAGTACGAACCCAGCATGGGCCGAGGAGATCGCTCTAGGCCCCGGTCCGCCTGCGCGTAGAGGTGGTCGAGCCCATCGTCGAAAGGAATCCTGGAATACAGATGCGGCATCGACGGAGTCACTCCATGATTCGGGTAGTACAACATCCAGAAAAGACAAACTCAAGAACCCATTGGGCGAACGTTGGAGTCGCATGCGCTATCAGCGGGAAGACGAGCCGTTATGGGGTCAAGATGTGGAAGTGAAGGGCTCGTCCGTGGGTTTGTCTGGTGGAGGGCGCCCGGATGAGGTCTCTAACAGCAAATATTATATCGCTCGAGTACCCCCGGTCAATGATCTGCATCCCCCGATCGTTAGTGGGCCCAAGAGCCGGGCGGAGACCCGGTGGATGTTGCAGCCCCCACCCAGTGCCAGGGTTATGGCCGGCAAGGAGCGCATCGGTGACTCCGCGTCTAAGAACAACAACAAGTCGCCCGATGTGAAAACAGATCAAAAGCAACCGGTTGCGACAGCACCAGCGCAGCCACCGACCAAAACACAACCGATTGAGAGAAGTGCCTCCCGAGCTAGAACGTCAGCGATGGCACCCGATGGATGGTACGATCCAAGAGCCGACGGGTTGGAGGAAGATGGTGACGACGAGTCACCTCAGCATGGACGTGACGAGTCTCGCTGGGTTATCACGCCCTCGCTACACTCTCGCTTCGAATCGTGCTCATCGCTCTCGTCCGATGCGGACTCGGAGGCGGAGTCCCCGCGGGTGTCTCTGCAATCGCCGCAAACGCCGACCTCGCGGCCCGGTTCCAAAGCGACTCAAGATAGCGGTAAACACTTCCCAACGATCGCCAAGACCATGTCCACTTTGCACCCGCAGCACCACGAGAGCAACAACAAAGTTGAGATGCTGCATCTGGAAATCAACGACTCGCCTGACGATATCGCCTTAGGCCAGCTCGAGCGCCTGCGGCCTTGGCGTTGGAGTATGGATATCTGATTTTTCCTCCGTCTTCAGTGCAAGCCGATTTAGGCAATAATCCACGAATCATCCAACTCACCACATTGTCCTTTGTCATGGAAGCCTGTTTTTGCGATGCTCAATATTTTTTCCCTGTTCTTTGGGTAGCAGAATACCCCCTTTCGCTGTTGAGTTTTGTCATTTGTGTCAGTCATGTTTCCTGGCGTTGGCAGCAGCGAAAAAGCGTTTCTTTCCATCTTTCTTTCTCAATTCCCCTTGCATGTCTTTCTGTTTGTCTGTTCCCCTGTGATGCATCATCAGCGAAACCGCAACCGAGTCCCCCCCGCCGCGCTGTACCCCGCGTTGAACAAAGTTACAGATTGTGTTTAGTGTCTGGATGGCTGGGCCAGTAGACATCAGGAAAACACATACACATACACATACAGTTCATGGGCACGAAAGTACATAGATGAATAACCCATGTTCATCAATTGCGACCAACTTGAGCCACAATCATTGTTGTTGAAGACTATTTTGCACAGAGTACTTATGCCTTTTTTTTCCCCTGTCTTTCCTTTTTCTTGTGTGTTCCCGACCGCATTCCTTATTTTTGCTTTTTTTCTTGTCATTGACCATTGTCTCTCCCTTTTGTGATTCGTCCGTCCACTTTCATTTTGTCCACCTGCAACTTTTTTCTGTCACTTTCTTTGTCTTATGACTACTAACCTAGTTTGCCCGCTACCCACCCCTTCTTGTATACTAATTTATCCTAATACATACCCCACCTGAATTTCTTCTTTGTAGGCTGCTGCTATTACATGTCTGGACGAGCGTTGAAGTGGCTAGACGTAGCTGGTCCCACGCTATCCCAATTCTCCACGGCCGAAATTTAGATCTAGACCACTCGTGACAGGCCGGGGGGGGGGGGGGGGGGGGGGGGGGCGGAGAGTATCATGTCCATTGATACCGGCAATTGCCCTCAAAGATCCGACTAAGGGCTCTCCCCTAACCTCTTTGTTTTGAACATCCCGACCTCCGACATTCCCGATAGCATTGTCAATGGCGACGAGTGTTAGCGAGTGCCTATCTCCAGAGAGAATCCTCCATCCTCCTTTCCGGTGGTGGGTGCTGGTATGTGGTAATTGACAGCCAGCCAGCCTAGCCTAGCTAACCTTGGAAGATGCTGGACGACGTCCCGTCCCGGGAGGAGGCACCAGTCATATATCCAGGAATCTCAAGCATCAGAATCTTCACACGCACTCACACAATACCTACAGCCCCTCGATCTTTCTGCCCTACGGCTATTGCGCCAGCAGCAGCAGCAGCAGTAGCAGTCACACAACCCCCCAACCCCCCCCCCCCCCCCATGAAGCATAGTGACCATCATGTATATATACATATATGTATGAGGACCCAGCGGCTGGTGATTGTGCTTGTGATTGTGATTGGCACCAATGCCAAACCCCGGAACCGGGCGATGAACGCGGACGAAATTATGTTTCCCTTTCTCTCTGTTTTTGCGGCGTAGGAAAAGTTGATTACATGCGGGGCGTAGACGGGTACGTATACTATGGACTGTGCTGTGCTGTGCTGTAGTCGGAGTGGAATGGACTGGACTGGACTGGACTGGGTGAGTTTCCCAGAGCTCTGAGTTGCGAATTGAATACCGACCTACTACCGCCCTTCAAAACAGACTCGATTGAATTAATCAACCATACTATACTAATGATCTTATTTTATGGGATGCCGATAGGTGTTGTTGGCGTTAAGTTAAACCACAGGAATCCCAAGCCACAGGTGTCTGTCTACATGACTTCCATGTCTAGTATATATCCATGGAGTATAGTGCATGGCTGACTCGCTACGCCCGGTCGGGTATGGCGCGGGTTGTATACCTGGTATAATCTAACGATCTGCCGCGCTTTTTGGTTCGAGGTGCTACTTTACTCGGCTACAATGGGGTCTAATCTCCCCAAGCTAAAGGCGATGCAGACTACAACGGGGTGGAACAACTATACTATAAATTGGTGAACATTTTCATCATGCACAGATAGCTAAATCGAGCAAATGAACATTGGACTCGAGTTCTTCCTTTTTTTGTCTGTTTATTGATTCTGAGGTTGGTTTATCCGTTGACTGGCGAGATCATGGTAGTGGTATTCGAGGGGCAGAGCTAAGGGGACTGGGACTGGGTGTTTCTTTTCCAAGAACAATCAAAGAAGCTATTCGAAGAGAGAAGGGAAAGCAATTCGTATAAGCTAAGGGTCGTCTCCAAGGCCCGGGAGAGCCCTCGCGTCATACAAGCGCGCACGTGAGCCGGATTCGAATGGCAGCGGAGTCGTCGACGTCGTTGGTCTTCGTCGTTCCGTCGTTTAGTAGACCTTCTTCTTCTCGTCCATGCTCAGCTGACCAGGGCCCATGTTGACCAGAAGCAGGAGTCCACCGCTATAGAGTAAATGAATATGTTAGCCTGTGTCGTGGAGGAAAGTCAACGAAAGGCGAGGGAGGGACTCGTACACAATAGACAGGATCTGGAAGAAGTCGTACTTGGCGAAGTCCTTGTGAGGGTGGTGAGGGTGAAGCTGGTCATCATGTCAGTCGCTGGAAAATATGCAGCATTGAAGGGGAACATACAGTCCAGAAGTTGTTGACCAGCACGTTGAAGACGCTCAACAACACAACCAGAATGATAGCGCTCCACTTGGCCTTGAATCCCACGATGACCATCACGCAAGCGACGAAGCCGAACAAGCTGACCAGCACGCGCCACATGCTCCACTGGCCCGAGAAGACGAACCCAATGAAGAGGAAGATGAGCAGCACGCGACCAGCGAACTGGACGTACATCTTGCGGTCCTTCTCATCCAGCTGGGGCAGACCGGCAGGGACGAACTTCTTGCGCACCCACGAGTCGGAAAGCACCATGAGCAAACCGCCGATCACACTCAGGTTGCGAAGGAAGAAGTTGAGGTCGAAAATCAATCCGTATCCGAGACCCTGGGTGATAACGACGGCCAACAAACCCGCGACGGCAAACTCAGTGTGCTTGCGGGCGATGACCAAAACCGAGCAAACCGACATGGCGATCATATTGACGAGAAGAAAAGTATGCGTGATTCCCCATGGTACTAGTGCGGAGAGAGACGGGTTAGTGATGTTCTTGCGTTTCAGTCTCCATCCGCGGTGCTACCGCGCAGCCGGCAGGAGAGGAACGAAGTCGAGGTGGGAGCTTACTTTTCCGGTAATCACGCAGGTACAGCAGTTGGTCGTTCCATTGCGTGATCATACGCAGGCTGTCTTCGAGGAAGGTAACCACGATTAAAAACCGACCAATGGCTGGGAGATATCTGGAGAGCAAAAAGCCACGGTGTCAGCGGAGATACGTCTTCTCTGGATGCGCGGATCGGTCGGAGGCTCCTTTCGCTGCCGCAGGTGCGAGCACTCCAGGCATTGGAGCTGTAGAGATCGATAGAGGATCACGTACGGCTTAACCGGATCGGCCATTGTGTCGAGCCAATCCTCAATCTTGCTGGTCTGCTCCCGGATAGCATCCAAAGGACTCGGGTCGCTCGTTGCCTCTGCTCGGCCAGGACCGCCAAAGGGGTTCTGGTGGCCGAGGTTGTAACCGGCAGTGCCACGAATTTGCGCCATGGCGACGAATATAGTATAGATGAAAGTGGTGGGTTTGAAGAGTAGAGGAAATGAAGGAGGAAGAAATATGGAGTAGTAGAGTCGGACCCCTCGGAAGGTTTTCACGGGGGGTGGAAAAACAAACAAGGAAGTCGGGAGAAGGGATTCGGGGAGTAGCTCCAGGCGCACTATTCGGGAAGAATAGAGGTAGATGAGGTGTAGTGGAAAGGAAGGAAGAGGAAGAGGAAGAAGAGAAGAAGAAAAGAAAGGAAGAGGAGAATAAGAAGCGGAAAAAGGTGATGGATCGAAGAGGGAGCAATCAATAATAATGGGGGGTGGAACGAATGAATAGTGGCTGCAGCAAAGAAGCACAGTCGGAAGTAAAGTTGGTCTCTTTCTTCTTTCTTGCTATTGAGACATTGAACAGAAAGAACCAACACCAAACAAGCACAGGGTCAGTTACTGGGTCAGTACTCTCTCTCTCCGTACATGGAAATAAGGCCACGATGACCGGAACTCATCACTAGTCCCAATGCGGACTAGCGGAGCCGTCGGAGTTGCGGGCGTGACGCCATTAGAGCGTCGAAGGCCCTTACGTAAGCCAATGATCTCCAGTCTGTTCGCCAGTTCGCCAGGACCTTCAATTCTTCATCCTTAACCCCTTCTCTCTTCCTCACTGGCCTACACCTGCCGGGCCCGCATTCTAGAAACCATGTATATTCCCTGCTGGAATCTTTGGCGAAAGAAAAGGAAAAACAACAACAGTAGTAACAATACCACAAATTGACCACACCCCTTTTTCCCATTACCATTATACACAACTACTAACTAACCTTGAGACACCCCCATAAGGGGGGAATGGGGAGGCCCTTTCTTCAACTGAACCACTGAACCACTGAACCAGATACTCCCCCACCCCACACACACCCAAAACAGGGACTGCCAATCTTTTTAGTTCTGCGGCGGGAGATCCGTCGTCTGAGATTCGAAACACGAAACACGACCCAGACAAAAATAGGTCGAATCACTTCTCCACACTCACTATGATCCCTCCGTGGAAGAAGGATCCTGTAGCTCAAAAAGAAGAACAAATAAAAAAAGGTGGACAATTCAAGGTTACAGCTGTAGAATGTTTGGAAGCTTAAGATCTCGCCTGGGCGCAGCAACAAGCCCGATCGCCAGGGTCCGAGTCCCAAAGCAGCAAAACCAAAACCCTTACCCTGAAAAATGAAGTAATCGATTATCTACTAAAGACCAGGTTTCCCCTTCACAGCCTTGATGTTTTATGATGAGCCTTGATTCTTCGGATAGCAACTGGTTCTCCTCATTCAAGATCTGCCATGACATACAGAACACCAAAAGTTGAGAACTGGAAGAAATCACCCAAGGCGAATGCGCCCATCCAGACTGACCAGACGATGGCCTCAAGGGAGAGAAATACAGCAGATCGTGTCATTGCGATCAATTAACAATGGGAATACAAGATACAAGGTATTCTAAGGAAATAGGTAGACAAAAAGGTGAAGGAAAGGAGCACATCAAGAGGGTAAAACCGAGCATAACAAGTGAAGATGTCAGGGAAAAAAGGTACATGGCTTTTGAAGAAGAACGGAGGGATTTTCGAAATATTCAGCCCATTGAGTGTCTCCGTCGTCGCAGCCATGTTGGGGGGCTGGAACAGAGCAATGTGCCAGATACATGCGAAAGGTTTTCGATGAAGAATAATATGTCCCAAACGCCAAAGCCATGAGTATAAATACAGCCCACGGATTAGTTGGATCCGGCTTGTGTCCGAAGGGCATCTTGCACAAAACCGAGATTGCATCCTCTGCCCCGGAAAGAGACTTGCTTAGGCAGCCCAGTCGGAGTCGAGAGGGTGTCCCTTCTGGTTGGAGCGGAGGATGTCGGGGAGATAGGTGGGAGTCACCTTTACCTTGGGCTCCACGGGGGCGGGAGAAGGAGCAGCAGGGGTGGGCTGGCTCTCAGAAGCACTGACTTCGCTCTCGTCCGTCTTTCCGCTCTTCTTCTTGATCTTCTTGCTGGAGACGGTGGTCCACTGATCCTGACCGTTCTCCGCACCCAGAAGGCGCATCTGCTCCTCCTCGGAGGGAAGACCCTGATCCCATTCCTTGACAGGCTTGGAAGTGGCGGCAACTGGCTCGAACGTATCCAAGAGCTCGACCTTGGGGGCCACGGCGGGCTGAGAAGTACCGTTGGTGGCGCTGGGAGCAGCCTTGGTCTGCCAGGCGTTGGTCTGGGGTGCAGTAGGAGTCAACTTGGCCGCCTCGCGACGCTCAGCTTCGCGGGCCGTGTGGAGCTGCTTCTCGAGCAACTTGCGTCTCTGCTCCTCAGCCTCCTGGACTTGCTGCTTACGGGCCTCGTTCTTTAGTCGCTGTTGGCGCTGCTTCTTGGTCTCGACCTGCTTGAAAGACTGGGCCTTCTTCTTCTGAGCCTCAGCCGGTGCGGCGCCGGTAACGCGGAGAACGGAAGCACCAGGGGCCGGAGCCTCGAGCATGTCGGAGATGTAACCAGCGGAAGGAACAGTGGCGTTCACAACGGGGGAGCCAGCGGGAGACAGGTCGTCGTCGGCATCAGCACCAGTGGTAGACGAAGTGCGGGTGGAGACACGAGAAGCCGAGCGCTCGTCGTTTTCGAGCTGGGGGAGGGCGCCCTTGCTCTTCTTCTTCTTGGCAGACTTGCTGGTAGGAGCACTGGTTTGAGCCGGGATACCGTTCTTCACCGCGTTGAAGCGCTTGGCCAACTCCTTTCGGTCAATCTCCTCATCCTGCTCCTCAACCTGCGAGCCCGTAGTCTGAGCTGCAGGCTGCTCCTCAACGGATTTGCTGGGTGCGGGGGAGGCTTCCGAGGACTTCTTCGTCTTCCGCTTCTGTTTCTTCACAGCCGGAACACTCTCGACTTTCTCTGTGAATGCCTTGATCGGGGCCTTGACCTTAGGAGAGGGGCCGTTGTAGTACCATCCAAGGCCACCTGCCACTACAAGCAGGAGAGCCCAGCTGATATAAGGATTCATCATCGTTAAAGCTATGGTCAAAGCAATTGTCAGTTTTGCTGGGAGTGCAAGAGCGAGGTTAAAATGCTAGGACGTACAGTCACTAATTTTATTTCTTGAAGTACGTAGCAATAGTCGTGAAATTCAAAGAGACCCGTCTCAATGCACTGTGAAAGACTGAGCTGGCGGTCGTCAAATTTTCCGTTCGCGTGTCCGGAAACGTTGAGAGAAGCAGGCGAAAAAAGATCTGGTGAAGGTACCAGACGGAGAAAGATTCAATTCGAGCAATCGCGTGATTTCGGATTACTCTTTGTTACCAGATTGCGACAAAAGCGCAAGGCGAAGAGGTGTGGGTTGGCGAAGGAGAAAGTTGCCGCAGTTGCGCTGAAAGGCCAGATTTCCCCGGCGAGCTCGAATGGCGAATCGGTAGCACTATCTGAGACTTTTGATATCAGATGGCGATTGGAGAAATTCGGAACTCGAATTGAAGACCTCAGCCGCGGATCGATGGTCTTCACACAGGGCCCTGGAGCTTGGGGTAGTTCAACGCTTCGGTCGGCGCTTCGGAGTTGAAAGAGAAAGGTGAGGTAGGTCGCGAGGACGGAGCAAGGTGAGGTAAAGAAGTAACGGGATGGTATCACCGAAAGACCATTGAAGCACCCGTCAGCCGAAGACTGAAGGGTGGGCGACAATGGCTGACTGAAAATGCAACACAAGTATGGCAGGGGACGAGTTGGAAGCGAGGAATTGGGGGGGAGAGAGAAGAGGAGGGTTGTAAGGAGGAGGAGGGCGATGGTGGGAGAGAAAGAGGACACGGATTGGAGAGATGAAGGGGTGTGGTTGTCGACTCGGCAAGTGGTGAGGAATAAATTACCAAAGCACCGAGATGGATGAACTACCCAGGTACTCCGTACTCCGTAATGGTCACCCGTATCGGTATCAAACAGCGGTCCTTGCACGCGCTGGATGAGAGACTCCACTGCTAAGAGTAACGTTAAATTGTCAAGTAGTGCAAGATCTTGGAGGAGATTCTTGCCTGATCATCATCTGGACCGTGATTTAGGAGAGTTTTCTCGGGGATAGATCTTTTATAAACCCATTTGCAGTCATCACACGGGCTGACATGCCTGTGGCGCATTGATGAAAGGATTACCCCATGTTTCTACTTTCTTCGAGCCAGCCAGTCAGCCAGTCTGTAACTGCTGGTAACAGATAGGAGAGGAGTAATCAAAGTAATCTCTGTAATCACTTTACGGACTTCTACTACTAGGTAGCCACTAGCCACCTCCTGGGGTTGAACAAATTAACCTTGGAAGACCAGCACGAATCAGACCTCTTCTTTCCCTGTCGTCGGACCAGTGTCCGTGACGTTGACAGACCGAATGGTCTTACAGCATCCCCTGGTGTGGAGGACGGCGTTCGACACTGGCGCGGGGAAAGATCTTCCCCATGCGTGACATTGGTTTGACCCCCTCTGGACTGCAATGTCGCGTTGCACTTCTGGCATCGGCGTGTTATAGTCAGAAGGAAACCAACCCCCTGCGATCCACAAGATATGGCTTCCTAAAAGGAAATGTCCTTAGATTTGAGAGAAAGAACAACTGGAATTAGACTTAAAGTATTGAGGTAGAACTACCGAGCTGTTGAAGGGAAGCTCCGGTATGTTGTATGTTACCAACTGGCAGTGGCAGAGGCAGAGGCACAAATACAGGGGTAATACCACCCCCTGCAGGCCATTCCGCCTTCCGAACAGGCCACGTCTCAGCTTAGAATCGTCCAGACTCCAGACCCCCGGGAAGAACCTCCGTCGGCCTGGACGACCCGAGACAGCTACCCTATTCGGTCAAAATTACCACAATCATGGATGCAGTGGATTGGAGGACAGTCCTGCTCCAGGCTTCCCCTTCCTCATCCCAATGCTACACGATAGATAATTGGACATGTCAAATCAAATTGAGGATCTGTCTGAATGATCTGTATCTATCTCTGGATGGTGAAGGATGGTGCTGAGACAGTTGGCTCAGTGTCTGTTCCAAAACCACGCAGCTAATATCATCAATCATAACTTAACTAACTTATCATGTGCTTCAATTATTCAGCCAAATGACCTGCATTGGACCTTCAAGGAGTCATGGTAACTACAGCTTCTCCTAGACAAGTAATTATCAGACCGCTGATTTGGCCCTTGAAGGTGTGACTAAGCCCTTCTTTATCGACAACCGCTGTAGTGGAGCATGAGTGATAAGACTCGGGACCAGCCAAGAACCATCCCACTTCCCCTCCATCCTTTGCATCATCGCATTTTTCCTCCCTCAACAGGTTTGCAGAACTGAAACAATTCGCGGAAGCTGTAGGCAGTGCTCTCGAAGTAGACTATCCACACAATGGCGCCTAGAAAGATCATTATCGACACCGATCCTGTATGATATAATTGATTCTCGTCCCAGACTGCAGCTGCTCTATCCTTCGGCGTCTGACCGGCTTGATTGCTTATATAGGGAATCGATGATATCCTTGCCCTTCTCCTGGCACTGTCCGCTAAGCCAGAGGAAGTTGAGGTGCTCTTGGTCTCGCTTACTTTTGGTAATATCGAAGTGAGAAGGTAAGTCACCATTCCCGAAACCAGATGCTACGCCTACTGACTTTCCAAGCTGCCTGAAGAATGTCGTATCCATGTTTCACATCCTCGAGCGGGAGATGAAATGGCGTCGAGAGAAAGGTCTCCCCGAAGGTTACGGCGCCCTGCGCGCCTGTCCTCCTGTTGTCGCTGTGGGAGCGGAAGATCCCTTGGAGGACCAGAAGATGCTGGCAGATTACTTCCGTACGTGTCTGAGCTTCGAGTCAGGGTTGAAAGGAACGCTGACCACTCATCTAGACGGAACGGATGGCCTCGGTGGAATTCACACCAGCGTGAGCAGGGCGCATGTCTCCTTCCTAACCTGTTGATTCACTAACGAAGTGCTCGCAGCACCCGCACCTGTCTCCCCAGGAAACCTGGGAGCATTTGTTCGACCCATCCAACGATTCCAACGACATTGAGCCAGTCCCGACTGGCGATTCCGCCAACCGGCTGTTTGTTCCTTCAAAGCGTCCCGCATACGAAGAGATCCTCCGCGTTCTGCGCGAGAATGACCCCGACACCGTTACTATTGTAGCTGTTGGCCCCCTCACTAACCTAGCCATCGCCTCTGCAAATGACCCAGAGACCTTCCTTAGGGCCAAGGAGGTTGTGATTATGGGAGGAGCTGTGAACCAGCCTGGAAATGTATGCTTCTGTGCCGCCTCGAGAATCTGGAAGTTTGCTTGCTGTATACTAACGCAAACCGATCAGGTCACCCCTGCGGCTGAATTCAACGCCTATGCCGATGCAGTCGCTGCCGCCCGTGTCTACGCCCTCACGTCGCCTTCTCCACGGAGCACGATGCCCCCGGGCACGAGTCTGCCAATGTACCCCGCTACACTCAGCAAACAGCTCACCCTTCGCACCTTTCCCCTCGACATCACTCTCCGCCATGGTATGACCCGCGGTCAGTTCCGGAAGGCCATCACTCCGCTGCTGGAATCCGGCTCCCCACTCGCCGAATGGGTGTCAGCTTTCATGGCCCACACCTTCCAGACCCTGGAGAGGCTTCACCCGGGCCACGAGGGCGACAAGGCCGACCTCAGTCTCCACGATCCGGTGTGCGTGTGGTATGCTTTGACCGCAGATGACGAAGGGTGGAAGCCGTCCGCAACCTCGCCGGAGGACATTCGGATTGAGACCACCGGCCAGTGGACGAGAGGTCTCTGCGTGGTGGACCGCCGCAATCGCCACCGGATTGACGGCGAGGAGGAGAGCTCCAACGACCATGGCCTGTGGTTGAGCGCCAGGGCAGGAAACCGCGTTTTGAGGATGGATCACTCCCCGGTGGAGAACACCTTTGGGGGCATCCTTCTCGAAAGGATCTTCAACTAAGAATAATAGAGCGCGGCGATGCATTCACCAACCTACACTCGCCATCCCCATACATCAAAGTCGCCAGTGAATAGCCCCCTATATAGTGATAGAGTTCCTGCAATAGAAGTTAAAACATATGAGCAAATTGGTAGGCATGTTCCCATGGCACGAGCAGGACGAGCCCAAAGTGTATAAATAGACGTCCGGCTAAAAGTACTGAGTACGATGGCCTGGAGCATCCGTCCTCCTCTGCTTTCCCCTCATTTCTAGCCCCGACCCGATCAAGAATAGCTCCGGACTCCGTCAAGAAGGAATCCGCCGGCAGGTCCGAGAATCATAAGCCCCCGAGGTGAGTGCTTCGTAACGAGACCTTCGCGTCGCTAAAGCCCCGCATCATTAAAGGCACCTTGCTGAGAGGGACACTCACAACCGTCCAGCAGATCAGACACGTATGTTTTACTGAAACGTACTCATGCGAGTTGCTCCCCCACCAAGACCCCCACGCACAAGAGATACAGCACTACTGAGACAAAGACATCGAAGGACCAGCTCCAAGATTAAGTCAAAGCACTGGCTCAAGCCTGGAGCAGGATTATCTTCAGTTGAATACTGTACTGGACTAATCCGGTGGTGCTGGCACATGTCCACGGTCCACGTCCACGGTCCACGTCCACGTCCACGTCCACGGTTCTCCCCGCTCAGCTTGTGAAACCACTGATTGAGAATAGGAGGTGCACGTGCTTGGATGCCAGGTCTGGACGGGATTGAAGACCCTGGCCTGGCTCGGAACATTTTCCAGCGGGCTTACTCCTGTGGTGCGCTCCCCCCTTAGCCTCCTCGGAGTCCTCAACGCCAACGGGCGCTCGGGTGAGCGGTTGATCCCATGCAGTAAGGACGGATAAATCCGGAGACGATGAGGGGAGGATGGGGGGAGATGTGCACGGGCTTGAGGATAGTGATGGGGTTCGACATTGCTATGAGTAAAGTACATGTGTTGCCACTGGTGACATACTCCATTGATTTACTTTCCATCTTCCTTTGAATTGGTATTCTGTCTCGAGGGAAATCTCGAGGGGATCATATGTCTCACTCAGCTATATCCGTCTCTTGCATCATGATTCTCTATTTTCTTTTGCTCTGAGATTCTGCAGTCTGCAGCGGGGAAGGATGTCTTCGGAGAAGTATCTCGTGCCCTAGTATGGAGGGGGGGAGTGAGGTCGGCATGTTGACGGAATCTTTCAACATCACCAATTAGCAGTCCCTGTGCATCAGCGTGGGCGATCAAGCCAGATAAGAATATGCTTTTCCCTTAAGTTCCCCCTCATTTTCCCGCTGCACTGGACGAGTTCAAGTGGAACCTAGACATAGGTTACGGCACAAGACTGCATACCGTCCACGGTACTTACTCGATCATGATCAACGGCATCATCACTATTAGTAGATAAAGTAGATTGCTTTGTTGGAGAGGGATTAACCACCTCACCTGGCAGATAGTGGAACGTCCTCCGTTTAGGGTTTGGCGTACTTTGAAGGAAGTCTAGAAGTAAGGAGTCAAGTGGCTACGCAGCCGATAAGAAGAGGGAACGGGAGCACGAGCGCCAGGAGGCCTCAGAGACTCGGCCATCGGCCATTTGGCCCCGGGCGGTCTTTCGGTCTCGTGCCCTTTCCGCCGCCGCTGTCCGGCCAATGATGGGCGTCTCGTCCGCCGCGTGGGCTTCCCTAAGCACGCGACACACTTGACTGCCAGGTGGTGTCTCTTCAGCAAAGGTTACAGATTGGATTTCATCTGTCGATCATCCTGGTTTCTAAACTAAATTATAGGTAACTTACTGTACTTCGGGACTTAATGCGACCATCATACTTGTCCGGGTAACTGTAGAATAAGTAATGATTAAGTACATACCCTACCTTAGGACCAGACCATTATCGTGATCCTCCTCATACTCCTCCTCCTCCTCCTCCTACTACTTACTACCTTCTCCCCTCCCTCCCGTTCCAGGAACACTCTCGTCTCCCTAACCTCCTTAGATATCATCACTCTCCCCTTCTCCTCTCATCAGCATCTCCTTTCTCTATCCTCTTTGGCTTTGATCTATGATAATTAAACATTAAACTTTTCCTTCTTGACCTCTGTGGTGCGAATTAAGCCTTCTCTCCACTCCTCCTATACTGTCGTTCTCGCATCGCCTCTCAACTACTACCTCCCGAATCACTCCTCTTCTCCCCTACCGGCAAGCAAGACTGTACAACCTCGCTGCGGGGGGTCGTTCAACATACCCTTCACCATTGGCCCCGTCTCACTCGCATCTCCACTAGTTCAACTCATTTCCATTCAGCCAACGCACCCATTGGCGAGCAGTGTCAGGTCGACAGCCAACCTTGCTCAACCCCCCCCCGACTCAAATCATGTCACGGTCTCGTCTGCCACCGACACCCGCCATGTCCGGGGAGCTCACCATCAAGGAGCAGTCCTCGGTGGATGCGGCCGACACCTTTGCTCTGCCTCCTGCTGCCATGAGCCCTGTTCGGATGGTCGCTGCCAGCCGAAGGTCCTCCAAGTCGGATCCCGCCTTCTGCTTTCCTGCGTCCCCTGCCTCGCCCAATACCACCATGGGCAGCATGGCCAACTCGCCGCGTCAGACGGGAATCAAGCGACCCCTGGAAGAATTTAATCTGCCACCACCGCCGACCCGCACCCGCAAGATCATCCAGATGAAGCCCAAGACCCAGAACCAGCCCAAACCCGCCGCGCCGCCTAGCAGCAAGGCCTCCACGAAAGACAACGCCAGCAAAGCCTCTGCCAGCAATGCGGCTCCCTCAAACCCCAAGAAGAAACAGCCCAGCGCCACAAGCGCAGCCGGTCGGAAGATTGCGCGCAAGACAGCACACAGCTTGATCGAGCGCCGGCGGAGATCGAAGATGAATGAAGAGTTTGCGACCCTCAAAGACATGATCCCCGCCTGTCAGGGACAGGATATGCATAAGCTCGCTATCTTGCAGGTGTGTTCCTGTTGCCCTTTCGCCCGGTTTTCGACCCCTGTTTGCTGATCGCTAATGAACCCCGATGTACCTAGGCAAGCATTGATTACGTCAACTACCTGGAGCAATGTATTTTAGATCTGAAGACCGCGGGTGGTCCTGCAACAAGAGTCTCTCCGTCCATGGCACCGGCCCCACCCTCTCCAGCATCTCCGGGAGCTCTTGGAGAGGAGTCAGGACTTTCATCTTCGGCTTCGGTGTCTCCAGAACTTCTCCCGACTGAATCGTCGGCCTCTAATACGACTTCACCGACATTTTCTGCACAGATCCCGACGCCTGCTCCCGGATCACTTCCTGACCTCCGATGCTCGTTCGCGACATTCTCTGCCTCAGAACCAGTCCAGCCCGCCGCCCCAGAGACGTCCCGCTCGGCACGTGGCTCGTGGGCTGCATCGGCCAGTACCTCCCCGGGCCTGCCACCGCAGTACGCCATAACATCTCCAGCCGATGTCGACCATGAAGCGTCGGCAGCCTTGCTCATGCTGAACCGTGACTGTCGAGGATCCGTGGGATCGGTCCATGACGCGCAGGCACCTCCTGTCCCTATCGCGCGGGAAGACCACAGCCAGGGGCAAGATCCGCAAAAGAAGCTGGGCATGAGTGTGAAAGATCTGCTCATATCTTAAGTTCTGTATTTCTAGCATGTTTTTCACGGCGTAAAAAGTTTAGTAAGTGGTTCGGCGTGTGGATAAGCGTTGTTCAAACAGAAAGAGAGCGGATCGGCGTTCTTTGGGCAGGATGATATGTTGGGTTTTCTTTGTTCTATATATGCAGGCTGGGCCGGTATAAGTAATGATGATGTTCTGAATGAGTGTTAATATGGCAGGCTTAGTGAATGAGCCGAGCTTTTTCTGGATAAGGTTCAATAGCGATGATCTAGATACCTCCCATAAGCGAGTTGCGAATCGCTTCAACCCACACCCTTCAGAAACCCGAGAGAAAGCCAATTGTCAAGCAAGGTCGTAGAACCGACTAGACAATGTCAAGATAAGATAAACCGCAACCTGCAAACTTATCTACAGCAGTAGCGTAGCGAAGTGGTCCCCGTCCGTTAGCCCCACAAGGCCATGACAATCAAGCATTGCACCAACCGAGCTGAGCCTGGAGCCCCCGTCCCCACCCGGGCCTTCTTCAGTGACAGTGACAATAAGAAGCCGAAGCAGAGATCCGACCCACGACGCTCGCCAAAAAGGAAGACAACACCTGATCCCTAGCCCAGACCCCTATCCCCACCCCCTAGCAAAGAATGCAACAACAGCCTAGCGCAACCCTGCCATCAGCATCGAGTCACTTGACCGACCGCGCGGTCCGGGTGAGCGTTGCAGCCCAGAACAGCCTACCCAGTTAACATGGAGAAGTGTGTGGCTGCCTCCGCCCCAACCCCCTGGCCATCAATTCCCGGACTGGACTCCGTACACTGCACTGCACTGCATTACACAAAACCGATTCCTGCACCGACGAGAGGCTAGAATAAAAAGGGGTCTCGACCTTGAGTGCCCTGGCTTATGCAGCTGTATGCGATCTTGCTGGGAACCTAGTAATCATGGAAAAAACGTTCTTCTGGTGTTTGGTCTGGGGGTGGCCAGCCTCTAGGAATCAGGAAGAGTTGCGCGGACGGTCCTGTGCTGTACTGTACTTGTACCCCGCAGAGGGTTTTGTTGCATGTGTGCACGCCTGCGTGCATGGTGTATGTGGCATGGCGTGGCGTGGCGTGGGAGGGTTTCTCTTCTAGTTTCTTCTGGAGAGGTTCTAGCCTGATGGCCAGTTTTGGTGGTTGAAATGTATGTGTGTGCGTGTGTGTGTGTGTGACCTCGAGGGGGCATGGAAAGTTAGATTAGAAGTGTCGAAGCCGAGGAGAGGGACGCTTTGTTATTTAAACCCAATATCAGAGAACCGACCGCCTAGCGATTCTTTCTATTACAGAAAAAAAAGCTATAGTGTTAAATAATCCGGTCTGGACACACAGATAGTAATCCAGCAACCGTCGACACCGCAGCCGGCCTATCTCCCTCTTCCTGTTGAAACATCATACCATGCATTCCACACATTCTGCAAGGTGTCTCACGAGTTTCTGCACGGATCTTGGCAGCACGACCTGGAACAGGCTCTGGCACTTTGCGTTGAAGTGTATTGCTTGGCTTGGGGGCGATTGGGCAATTGTCCTGCTCGAGCAAATGAGTATGCGTCGAGTTTGTTCCACGACGTTGACCGTTATTCCATATGCGTCTTCGATAATAAACCCCTTGGCGCGAATTCTTCCGTGATCCATCGAGTAGCCAAGGGTTCTAATGGCTGGGATACCCGATGCTGGAATACGGAGGAAGGACCCTAGGGTTGGTTGGTTGGTTGAGAACCTGGTTCACGGCACAGGTGTGCGCATGCATTTGACTTATCACCCACTTTCGTTTTTCCCAGATAAGCATTTCGGGTTTGGCCTGTGCGTGAGACAATTGCTTTTGTACCCGCAGGGAAGGTAGGCCACTGGCAATGCTCGGCGATCAGGAAAAATCACAGGCTAGTTTACTCGGTAGTTACGGTTCTGCTTTAGATTGAACGGTTAGACTGCAATGGTTGTTGTGATAGCGACTCGTTTGGTTTGAACAGGGCACAAAAAGAGTTTTCGTGTTGACGTACTTTGGGCCTGACCGCGGAGATCCTCTGGCCCTCAGCTTTCTCCCCCACTTCCACCGTCCAGGGTTATGGTTTGTGCTGATCTACAATCGTGGAAATCCATCGAGGGCGCCGCGCCCGACTTGTCGTAAGATGACGTGGGGTGGGCGAACCACCTGCCTGCTGGGCGATTACTTAGTAATTTCCCGTTCGGTTAGTTAGTTAGTTATCGGCTGTTGAAAGGTAGGGTGTTCTTTATGCCAAAAAGCTGCAAAGAAGGAAAGACAAGGAGCCGGCGGGGTTGGTCGACATAGACGTTTCTTGAATGGCAACCAGTCCTATTCTCTTTTTCAGATCGCCATGGTAATACTACATTGTATGCAGCAGGAGGCAGGGTCGGACTATCATTCTTGAGAACCTGAAAGTACAGTAGTTCCCCCCTAACCCCCCTTTAAAGTCTTAGCATCCACTAGTGTGGCCCATTGGCGCGATGGCAAAGTCCCCGCAGTGCCGACATTCCGTGATGTGCAAGACTAAACGGACTGGTGACTCCCCGCCCGACTCCCGTGGCCCGTCCCAAGCATCGTATATATTCATCCTTGAACCTCCCCCCCCCTCCCCCCTCCCCTGTTGATCGCTCTCATTCTTCGGTTTCCTGATCCATGGCCTCGGAAGTCATCCCCTCTCCAATCCCGCGTCATTCCAGCTTCCCACCCTCATCATGTCGAGCAAGTTTCCCTCCCAACAGCGCAAGAAGAATGCCCGGTCCATTGCCTCGGAGGACCCCTGGAAGGTCGACACTCCCTTCGGCCCGCCGCGCATCTCCCACTTCCCCAGCAGCAAGATCAGCCGCATTCGCAACACCTTACAAAAATTCTCTCCCTCCGCCCGGGCCGAGAAGGAACTCCTCAAGCAGAAGAACCGGTACAAGATCCCCCTGACCGAGCGCAATGTCGACGCTTTCGTGACGGAGCAACTGGTCACCGATGCCTGTCACCCGGGCCAACATTCGCCAGAATTGCAGATCTCGGCTTGGCTGGAGCAACTGTCATACTGAGAGAATGGGAATGTTCGACGCCCGTCGTACGGTATGGGGGCAGCACATTGTCAGCTGCTGTGCCGGGGTCTCTTTGTGCCCCAGCCCCCAGTACCATCCCTATTCTTTCTCCACGTCCTTGGGTCGATCGGCGCCGACAAGAAAACCCATTAACGACCGCGCCAACCCACCGCCAAGAATGCAATATGAAGTCTTGCGCACCCACGTCAGCCTTCTTGGCAAGTCAAAGAGATATGACACCTCTTTTTCGAGTTCAATTGCGAAAGGACAAGACGGGACAAACCAAGTGGATAGTCTATCTATCTATGCATGGCAGTGGTGCCGAGAAAAGACCCTTGCCGGGGGGTCAACGTCATTCATCTGGGCGCCGAGCCGCGCCCGGCCCCCGCCAAGTATGCAGGTGTCAACATCCATGCATTTCCGGGTGTGGGGTGCGCTCCAACAATCAACAATCCCTACTTTACCGACCATCCACCCTGGGCTGGGGACTTTCTGGAGTCGAGCATATCCGGGGTCGGTCTCACATTGTTCATGGTGGCTGCTGGTATAGCCTTCTACTTCTGTTCCCCACTTTTGGTCTAATATCGTCTTTAATACTACTTCTTATCTTTTGTTTGGACCTGAGTCTTTCTCCAGTTTTGGACTGCGTGATTCCCCTGCACGGACAAGATTATTGGCTATCTTGAGCGACAAGCGATTCGGTTCATTGGAACTTAGCATTCATTGGCGAGGTGCTTGGAGTTTGGTGAATTCTTGTGGTCTCTTTTTAGATCTTTCTGGGTTGGTCTTTGCCAGGCTTGCTGTTGTTCTATTGGCACATGGGCTACATTGAATTTGGGCTCTATGCTTGACAATCAATCTATAATACATTTTTAGACAAATGTTCACACTCATCGTAGAATTATCGCATTTCTGTCTACTTTGCTGACCTAGGATAGGAAGCCAGCTGTTCGATTCCTCCACCCGGATCGAGCTTCAACAACAGGCCGAATGCTATAGCTGCTTGATGGGCTGAGACTAAGAACGTTGTGTGAATAATGGCCAAGGTGAATGGACAAGTACACATGTATAAGTGTGAATTTCCTCCATGAAACTCACGCAGAGACCACCATAAGTCTGCTTCTCATTATTGAAGCCCGGACACTAGTGAACGGCCCTGTACCAGAGGCCTTGTGAATAGGTGGCTATTATTCATGATGAATGGTTCTTTTCATCCAGCCTTCGCCTACTTAATCCTCCGCCTCCTCCTCCTCATCCTCATCCTCCTCCTCCTGTACTCTTCCATCCTCCGGCTCCTTTCTTCTTCCACTCCACTCAACCCACTCTTCTTCCCTACCTTCCTCCCTTCCACCACTAAAGCACTTCACCATACCCAGCTCCTAACAGAGTAAAACATTCTTGTTAAGCCCAAATTCTTATCAACTATACAAGCCCCCAACAAAGCCCCTTCCACCAGTGTAAGCTCGTGACTTCAAGCCACATCTACTTCCAGAACCATATACCACCAGACGAAGACGAGTGCCCAACTTGAAAATGAAGTCTCATTCTTCGTGGGCCGTCAGGCTCATATCCGCCAAGCCGAGAGATGCAGAATCCTGCTACACTTACGAACGTGAGTCACCTAAACCTGCTTCCAGAACAAGACTAACCCCTCGCACACCGACCAGTCAATGACGGGGCTCAGTGCCGTTCTTCGTCTTCAAGCTAGAAGTTGATGCATCTTTCTATATGCCTTGCAACATCGAAGACATGGAGAGTACCAATCGTGTGGACATTGCGGGCTGGCATTTTGATTCCTAGGTACGCCTCAAAATAAGGTACTTCCTATTCGTCCCTCTGCACGATTCCTGGCTTGCGGGATGTCATACGCAACTATGCGTTTGGCTACATCAAGCCAGGGCTTCTTCTGCTGTTAGGCTGGCAGAGCCTGCAGCCGAAGAAAAAGCACCCCAGAACTATTTGCGGAGGATACTGTACATGCCAGGCAAGAAGGGGGAAAGAGGAACATCACCAGATCTCTGGGTCCAACCAGGACCAAAAGTACATGGTAAGCTTGGGACAGACATCGCTGGTCTATGCTTCCTGGTTGCTGATCGCTTCTAGCACTGTACTCCGTGTGGTGACTTC